ATATATATATATATATATATATATATATATATATATATATATATATATATATATATATATATATATATATATATATATATGAGAGATAAATATACTTTTTTAAATATAATTAAAAAAGTCTCCGTCTTTTTTTTTTAGGGTAAAGTTGAGTTATAACTCTCTTTTCGGATTGGTTGAATTGATTGACTTTAGTCAACCAAAAAATGTCAACGGCAAACCGAATTAATTTTTTTTGTTTTTTAAAAATTAAACCAGAACCCGTTAGGAAGACAGAAAACTTTCACTAGACGCTCAATCTTTTACCGTTGATTACCAAATTTTTATTTTTAAAAGAAATTGTTTAAATAACCATATTATAAAATATGCAAAACCTCTCTCTTAGTCGGAACAGCGAGAGTCACATTAGATATCTACCCGCTACCTCTTAAATACAACTAAATTAATAGTACAAACGTATTGATTTTCAACTCCAAAACTTTAATTTTCACAATTGAATTTTACGGCTACACAATTGTCAACTAGGTAGATACATAGTTTCGAAGATGTATACCAACCATTTAATGCTACACATATTGAAATTTCATTGGCCGATGGAGGTAAATATTCAATCATATTAATATAATAAGAACGGTTTAAAAAGTAAAAAGTTTGGAGGAACTAATGTCTGAGCGTGACCCTAGTCGAGCTGAGCCTTGTTTATATCATTGGTGGAATATCCGTTGTAATATTAAGTACGGACCTACCAATTAAAGGTGGAGAACCTTAACTTGATACCTCTCAACACCTTAACATCCACGTTAACAAGTACGTGCATTAGACGAATGCGACTCTCCACAATGGTATAATATTGTCCATCAGTATAAGCTCTCATGGCTTTGTTTTGGGCTTCCCAAAATGTCTTATATCAATAAAGTTAGTATTCCTCACTTATAAACCCATAATCATTCTCTAAATTAGCCGATGTGTGGGACTTTCATCCTCCAACACTCAACACCTTAACCATCCGCGTTAACGAGTACCTACATTAGATTCTTGCATTTCATACGAGTGGGAGATAGAATCAGGAAAATTTCTTGGAGTTGAGGAAACCTGAGAAAATGGACAGAGAAGGAGAGGGAGCGACGGCAGCGTCTTCTCAGGCCAACAGACCTGGTAGGAGGGTGGATCCTTTGCTCGTAACATGAAGGTTTTTCAGTATTGTAACAACTCTAACTGCTATCCTCTGCATTGTTTCCAATGTCATCTCTGCGATTCGATCCTTTAAGAACAACTCCGATGTAATCTCTCTGTTTCTGTTGCGTCTTTGTTCGGTATTTTTTTGAATCTAATGCTGTATCACGCGGTTGTTTGAAATTTTGGCAGATATTCGATGGTATATTTCGTTGTTATGCAGTTGTATCTCATTCTTCGTGGTTCTTGCTGAGACGGAATGGGAGTTTATTCTTAAGAACTGGTAGGTTTTTTGCCTCTGAACCCTAACTTCTCAATTTCTGAAGTGATTTTGGTTTTGGCTCTATTTGTTTCCCACTTCAATCTTTGAATCTTTCACCTATTTCCTTTTGCGGCTTTTAGATACAATAAATGTATGGCTGTTTTAGTGGTGTGGTCTGGGCCCGAAAATTGGAGCGAAAAGCCAGCCATAGTAGCTTGTCTTGGAATATGATTATTCAAAATAGCTCCTAGTAATTTGATGGTTGAAGCTAAGAATTACAGTATGCTTTGATTTTAATAGAAATGGATGTGTTCCAGGATTATCTCTTGATGTTGTATACCTTGCCTTGTTGAAAATTAATCTCATTTTGTTCGACTAACCATTTAACTATGTGGACATTGCCTCTTTCTCATTTGTTGCATATGGTTATTGTGAGATCCCACGTCGGTTGAGGAGGAGAACAAATTATTCTTTACAAGGGTGTGGAAATCTCTCCCCGTGTTTTAAAAACCTTGAGGGGAAGCCCGAAAGAAAAAACCTTAAGAGGACAATTCTACTAGCGGTGGGCTTGACTGTTACAAATGGTATTAAAGTCGGACACCAGACAATATGCCACTGAGGAGGCTGAGTCTCGAAGGGGGTGAACACGAAGCGGTGCGTGCGCCAACAAGGACGTTGGGCCCCAAAGAGGGGTGGATTGGGGTGTCCCACATCGATTGGAGAAGGGAATAAGTGCCAGTGTCGCCCCGAAGGGGGATGGATTGTGAGATCCCACATCAGTTAGGAAGGAGAACGAAACATTCTTTTTATAAGGGTGTGGAAATCTCTCCCTAGCAGACGCATTTTAAAAACTTCTAGGGGAAGCTTGAAAGGAAAAGTCCTAGCCGACAATATTTGCTAGCCGTGGGTTGACTGTTACAATTAATATGAACACTAAAACTTAAAAGGACTTATTTATTTGATGCCCATATCGTAATAAAATCTTCCCTCCCTTTCATTATTTGGGATGTCACTGTTGAAGAATGTACCCAAGTGGAATTATATATTCATTCGTAGCAGACTATTACCTGTCTAAATTTTCTGGGATGTCGCGAAAAAGGCCTTGGAAGTATTATAGGTTGCTATAATATTCCTTGAAGCTCAAAGATGCATTTGATGCCTTATTCCTTCCTAAGGTTTCTTAAGTTTTTTCCCTTTGAGGACTTGCCTACTGCATCATTTAATTCAGTTGGGTCTGTGCATTTCAGGTAATGGAATATTGGGCTGGTCGGGGCATGTTGCAAATCTTGTAAGCTTTATTTTTAGGAGTATTTGCAACCTTTTCCTTTTTACTTTCTGACTTGTTCCTATGTGCCATGTGCCTCTATGTGAAAATCTTGCTTATCAATAAGCTCCATGCACCCAGTCAATTTTGCAACTGAATTGTTGGTTTTTTGGAGAAACATGCAATGAAATATGCAACATCTGGTGTTGGTTAGATGCCTTCTTGTTAATTCAATGATCCTATGAACTTTCCTTAGGATGTTAGACTGGGACTAGTTTAAATTTATTAGAATAGGAGATTTTTCCATGCAGTAGAGATATATACCTACCGTGATTATAACTATAAAAAACTTTCACATTGATCAAGAAGATTAGATTCCACATGAGATGAGATACATGAAATTCATGGATTCCCTATATTGTGAGCATTCAATTTGTTTTAAGTTGCAATTGTCTTTGTGCAGTGTTGCAGTAATGACAAGAGCTTTCCCTGTGTATTCTGTAGAGAAGAGAGAGCTTATTCTTCTCCAAGATGCTGCAAGTTATCTCCTCCTTGCTTGTGGTGCAATCTATGTTGTATCGGTAAGCCTTGTGAACAAAAATATCTTGTTTCCTAATTTAATCCCTGGGGGCTTGAGAGAGAGGTTATATATGTTTCTGCTCTTTGCTTGTTCCATGATCTGTGTTGTTTTGGTAACCTGAAAGAAAAACTACATTATTAATGCTTGAATGGGATATTTAAAAAAAAATTCTTTCTTTGATATATTCCCCTGCACATGTATATTTCTTTTCATTGTTGAATTAACAGCAAGAGAGCACAACTTTTTTTTTAAAAAAAAAAAAACAAGAAACGAAATTTTTTTCATTGATTCGAAAAGACTATTGCTCAAGAGTTGCAAACTCCAGTGAAAAGGAACAAAAAAAAAAAAAAAAACAGAAGGAGATACAATGTGCTGGAAAGAACTAGCTCGCAAGACTTGGGGGCTCGAACCAACCTTGGAAAAACCCAAAACAAAAATCAAGGAAGAAGCCTTAAAACCAAATCAAGATAGGAACTGTCAGCAAAACACATGGGAACCTTTACGGACCGAAATCAACCGAGAACCAAGAGAACAGAAACTGTAACAAAAGCTGAAAACACCAATCAGGCACCCAAACAGGGCTGAAAAGTTTGAAAGAGAACTAAACCACAAAACCTCAGAGAAGATAAAACAGAGCTTGGCAAAACTAAACACTGACACATGGCTTCCTTCATTAACCAATGGAAGAATTTCACGAAACTCAAGGCCATAAGCTTCAATAAGTGAACCGAAATGGCCTGCATGGTGGGTGGAATAGGAGGAGGAGTCTTTTTGACACAATCCAGAAATAATATGTCAAAAGCTTCAAAATAACAATCTTCATGCCACCCTCCTTGCTGAAATCCACAGGCTAAATGAATGATTTCACGCTTCTCAAGCTTACCTCGGAGTCAGCATCAATGGTGCCGCCATGTGAAGGAGGGAAAAAAAAAAACGGTTTGGGTCCTTTGTCCGGTGAATACCTCCTATTGTTAATCCTACATCCAAATCCACGTCATCAAAGCTGGTAAGGTGACTTGCTGATCAAAGGGCACTAAGAGCCTTGTACAACTTTCTTCAATTACATCAGAAGCAAAGAATCTTCCTCAAGGCATGGTTAGAATGAAGAATCGGCCTCTTTTCTTACGAGTATAAGACAAAGGATAAGCTGGAATAAAACCCTTCACCTCTTTAACACTCAAAAGCCATTAGGGAAGATTCAAAGGAGGCTCAGAAATCTCCATAGGGGCGCCTATTCCAGTTGATGGTTTGCAATTAATGAGGAATTAAATCGAATTAAATCCCTCTTGAAGTTCCTGGGGAGAAGAAATAGACTTCTTGGAGACTTGAAACCTCTTGAATGAACCACAAGGTGGATGGAAAGGTGGCTCATGCGGACCATGGTCTTTCTTTTTTCCTTGCATAGAATTTCAAATAAGCTGCAATAAAATTATCTTTTACTTCTTTTATGCTTAAAGGTATTTGAGAACCAAAATTCAAAAGTCACTCTTGGTCTTCTTCTGCTGCTGTCTTCAAAACGGGGGATTCTGAAAATTTATTAAATGAGGCAGGAACAATAATAGTCTAACCAGCTTCAAAATGCACAAGAGAAGAAGGTAGCTGATCCTTTGAAATTAAGGCACTTGTTCATGCAGATTAGGAGCAATAATTAAAGGTTTTTACTATTCACATCCTGCGTTTCACTTAGTTTCAATGCAACTATTATATGATTTGTTCATGCACTTGTGCACTAGCAATTTAGCCCAGCCAAAATCGCATTACCAGTGGTGCAACCGAGTCTTTCATGAACTTTTTTCATATTTGTGCGATGATGGTTTTTATCGACAATACAAGGTTGGAGAAAAACATTAAATACATCAAGAAACAGAGTGTCGGTAGTCGGTAGACAACAAAGTAAAAAAGAAATCAAACAGTTGTATTTTGTAGGGGTTGCTTGCGTCAGTTTTTCATGTATGTCTTTAGAGGTTCATGATGTGGATGTCATTTATTTGGTTCTCGTGGACTTGTCTCAAAATCTTGATATCCATGATACTTTCCGTAATTGCCTTTCTTCATCCCAAGTATGTCTTTGACTGCACTGAATTTTGTTTTTAGTGTGTGTTAGACTAATTACTCGAGGTGCAAGTTAATTCATGAACCTTCTGTGCACCAAGATGCTAAGTCATATGTAAATATGTGCTGGGCTATCATCATACATCAGTGAACTAAATCATCATCCGTTTGAAAGTGATATGAACCAATGCATCAATCATGCAATATTAACATCAAGGAAGATGTGTAGAAAATGTAGTTCAAATTATCACAAGATGTTGCAATTCACGCCACGTTAAAAAAGAATGAAGCTTCACTTATTCTTAGATGGTTACAAAATTTGGGTATATGATAATTTAGAGTTATGGTGTTTCTTTAATGTATTTTAAGACTTATTTACATAGTGGCTAATTATGGTCATAAAATATGAAAGTTACAACTCTTGGAACATCTTATGGAAGGTTAAGGGTTTTAATTTTGAGGCTATATAAAGTCATGTATGTTGTCGGAGACTTGGAAAATGGAGTAAAAGAACATTTGTGCTTTCTTTTAGCCAATAGCTAAGTTTCTTTGCAATTCTATGTAGTTTAGGTGCTATATTTAGAATCATTCAAGCTTGACATGATTGATCTTGCTTGTGGAGTGATTCGAATCTCAAACAAGTGTTCTTGCCTTGAGATATTCGATCAATAGGGTAATCCGAATCTTACTTCCCTTGCCGTGATTCCTTATCATTTGGTATCATAATTTTCCCTTATGTTCGATTTCTTATCAAAAAGTTTGCCAATGGTGTATAAAATATGTGATTGGATGCTTGTTGTTTGCATGGATAACGCTTAAATGATTCTGGTTTTTCCTACAAATTTCAAGGGAATAATGTGCATTGGGTTTCTCAAACGTGCTCGTGAAGAGAGAGACGGCAAAGAACAGGATTGTCAAAGATCTTCAGGTAAGCTTTTTCACTGGATAGTTCTATAACTCATTGGGGAGCATGAATAGATCCTAACAATGTTTTGTTACCATTTTTTTTTTAATGAAAACATTAAAGCATATATATGTCATAATATATTGTTTGAGATTATAAGCAACTTCTCCAATTTCAGTTGATTACCATTAGCTGTGGAGTTTATTTTTCTCTGGTTTATTGGCCATCAGTCACCCTGTAATTAGAGGGTTTTAGATACTGGAAATTTGAATTTCAGCACAAACAGAGCCCCGTTTGGTGACAATTTTGTTTACAAAATATCTGTTTTTAAAAATTAAGCTCGTTAATGTCCATATTTTTCTTTTATCTTTTTAACCTTTTGGAATCTTAGCCAGTAGTTTCTTAGCACTACTTTCTTTTCTTCTTAAAATTTGACCCAGAGTACTGTTAGTCTTTTCTCGTTATCATAGGGCCTCCCCTCTGTGATTTACATGAACCAAGAATTCTTAGTTTATTATTTAACCATTTGTACACACAATTTGATCTTGAGGAAGCCATGAATTTGTTGTAGGATTTGGAAAGACAAAAACAAGAACTTGAACGGTTGCTCATTTCAGACACTGTTTGAAACGATATAGACATTCCCATGCAACAGAACATAATTGCACCAGATTCTCGCTTCACTGCTGGGATTGTATGAGCCTTTTTGTAGCTTCATTTTAATTCTATTATAATTGCCCCCTTATAGAGTTCTAATCATGTAAATTTTGTCTAACTTGATAATTTGTCCCTTTACTGATCATGTAAATTCTGACTGACATTTTGTTTCACTATATGTTAACAAAAGAATTTGTTTATTGTGATCAACTATACTAATTTATATTACCAGTCCTGTCGACTTCTTGAACAGTCAATCCAAGCAGGATCACATATCTAATATTTATGAAGAATGTGTATCATTGTTAACTAGAGAAGCAGAAAGTATAGAGTAGCGGCTGGAGTAGCTCAGGAAAGTACACAATTGAAACTCTGGAGGGAAGATTGACACTAGAAAATTGACTATTCACCACTTCATTGTGACAACCAAACTGCAATTCGCCTAGCAGAAAATTCGGTGTTTCACACTAGAACAAAGCATGTGGAGGTGTTCTACCATTTCATTAGAGAGAAAGTCTTGAAGGAAGAAATCAAGATGCAAAAAGATCAAGACAAATGATCGAGTGGCAAACTTGTTTACAAAAAGGGCTGAATATTGACAAGCATGAAAGCTTTCGTTGTTAGCTCAACAGGGTGCCGTTAATGAGGACTAGTGCTGAAGGAGTGTTTGATTATCATCACTAGTCTAATAGGGTCAAGCCCAATAATTGCTTGAGCTCATTGTCTATGTGTTTTAGGAAAATGATTTAGGTATTTTAGGAACAAGGATATTTATGTATTTTAGAAAAATGATTTAGTTATTTGACGAATAAAGGTTAGATTTGTTAGGAATAAATTGTTTAGCCTATGCTATAAATACCCTCTAAACTATCAAGGTTTTCATCCCAAGAAAATACAAAGTAGAGAGTGCAACAGTAATTTCTAATAGTATCTTGTAATCTCTTCTCGATTAGTATTAATAGAGTGAGAGTGTTTTCCATGTAAATCCCAACTTTATCTTAGAAGCTACATCACGAGAGTTTCCTCGTGCAGATAAAAATGAATCAGAGTTATTATTATGACTTTCTTACCCTCTACAATCTCTCTATCACACACTTCATGGACAAATTATGGGAGATTTTGGACTGTGCTTTTTTTTTATTGTTTCCCATTGGGGAAAGTGGATAGTGAGTGAAAGTAGAGACTATTTCCTTATCATGCTTTCAACCCCACTTTCCACAAGTTTTAATAGATGAAAGACGAAGATCTTATTAAACCTAAGAGAGAAATTATTTGTTAGCGATGAGTTTAGGCTGTTACAATATATGACTTAATAGAATAGTACACATTAGAGAGATCGAACAATTCTAAGCATGGTTGCTATCTTGCCTCAACTCGTTTCTAATCTTGAGATCATCCAAATTTGTAAACAATAATAATTATGTATGCAACTCTTGTTTTGTTGTTGAAACATCATTTATATAACTCTGAAATGGGATTGGAATGCCTTACTTTTCACATTCTTTCTCTATACAAATAAATAAGTGGTTTGGCAGTCAAGTGATGATCAGTAAAGCTCCATTGGGGAACCCTGACTTCATTGTCAAGATGCTGCAAAGAAGAGATGCTTACTTTGTGCCTTCACAGACTGCATAAACAAACATATACTCATCACTATTCTCGTAAACATAATATTATACTAAAGAAACTCGAACCGTTGTTTTTCGAGCTCTGTAACAGGTCAAGGTGAATAAGTCGAGGATATATGTAGCACAAACACGCTTGGATGATTTTAACTGATTGAACTATGTTCATGTGAGATCCCACGTTAATTAAAGAGAGAAACAAAACATTCCTTATAAAGGTATAGAAATCTCTCCCTAACAAACGTGTTTTAAAACCATGAGGTGGATACTTAACAGGCCAATACATACAATATCTTCGTTGGTAAAGTTTAATGAGTTGTTCGAGATTTGAATTGAAGAGTTTAAGTGGTTTTCCTTTTAAAGTTGTATATCTATACCTTCCTTTCTAGACCTTTAAGAACTAAAATGAAAGGTTTATGTGAGATCCTACATCGGTCAGAGAGCAAAACGAAACATTACTTATAAGGATGTGGAACCTCTCCCTACCAGACACATTTTAAAACCTTGAGGAAAAGCTTAAAGAAGACAATATTTACTAACAGTGGACTTAGCAGTTATCGTTCAGTATGACACGCAAATCTTCACCAAAAAAGAAACACCCTCAAAGTAAAAAGATGAAAAGTAGAAGGGATTCAAAAGGGTAATGTACAGTAAATGTAAGAAAATTACTAACCCCAATTTAAGAGAAATGTCTTCAAAATCATGAGAATTAGGGTTTGGTGAGGAGCTGGTGGTGTTTGACTTTGACCCCAAGGAGCTCCCACCAATCACTGCTTGTTCTTGCTCCCTATGATTCAAAGTTACCATCTGCCATTAAAACCAATAGCTTTTAGCCATTAATTGATGGTTTTTACCTTTTCATTTTCACTTACATGAAAGAAGCCCTAGAAACTCTTACCCCATTTCTTAGTCTCTGATTCTCTTTCATCAGCAAAGTTTCCTGCAATATTTACGTTAAAATATGAAGTGGGTTTGCCTTTTTACTAAATTTAAGATAAAGGGTATCTCACAAATCATCAAAAGAATGAAATTTTTTTTATAGAATTAACTCGAACGACGGACTACGTCTTAAAAAGGATGAAACGGAGGGAACCCTATGTGATTTCGGTGTAGAGAAAGACGATGGAAGTCATTCCATAGGTTCGTTTCTTTCTACCGTTATTTCAATACCCGCTTCGACCCTTTTGAGATAGGAGCAAGGCACGAGAGGATGTATTGAGAGTGGAGATCCTATGTCATCGTAATCATTGTCATTTCAGTATAGAGAAAGACGAGAAAGACGATGGAAGTTGTCATTCCATCGGTTTGCTTCTTTCTCCCGCTATTTAATGCCCGATCGAGAGGACGTATTGGGCCAACTATGACCCTTTTCAAGTGGCTCTTTCAACTAATGTGTATGAGTTCAATTGAGTGTGTTCAAAAAGCTACTATATGTGTAACAACCCATGCCCACCGCTAGCAAATATTGTTTTCTTTGGGTTTTTCCTTTTAGCCTTCATCTCAAGGTTTTTAAAACGTGTATGCTAAGGAGAGGTTTCCACACCTTTATAAAAGTTGTTTTGTTCTCCTTCCCAGTTGATATGGGATCTCACAATGATCTGTTAGTGGTGGGCTTGGGCCGTTACAAATGTTATCAAAGCCAAACATTGGGAGTCCCCATTGATTGGAGAAGAGAACGAGTGCTAACAAGGACGCTGGCCCCAAAGGATGGATTGTGAAATCCTGCATCGGTTGGGGAGGAGAACAAAGCATCCTTTATATAAGGGTGTGGAAACCTCTCCCTAAACACATTTTAAAAACCTTGAAGGAAAGCCCAAAAGGGAAAGTCCAAAGAGGACAACATCTACTAACAGTGGAGTTGGGCCGTTACTCATGCTTGCTAAATGGCACATTTTGGATTGTGGGACTTACTTCCTAACCCGAATGAGAGTAGTAAATTAGAGCGAGATACGCTACTATAACCTCAAACGATAAAAAAGGTCCGAGCTAGATCATAATTTCTAAATATCACTCAAAATATAGAGATAAAAGTGTTATGACCTTTTCCTTTCCAGCACCAATTTCTTTTAGAAACTTGTCATCCTACAAGGAAGACAAACAAAATCCAAGTTAGCAGATTTTAAGGATAACAATTGAATGATCATATGTTTAATGAACGAACCTTGGTCTCTATAACACGATTCAAACCAATCTCCAGCAATTTCTCCAGTTGCTTTAGTTCTTCTATTCCCAAATCTTGAAGATCCTCTCCCCTCATATGCCTTGTTCATAGTTTAACACAAATGAGTTCATTTTTTGGTCCAAAACTTTTCGAACGAATCGTTTGAGTAACTATTTTATTTTGGTCCTTAAACTCCGTTACAAAGTTTCTCGTGAAAATTTGAACGAAAAAGGACCCTACAAAGGCTATTCTTCATGCCAAATACACCCCGACTTGTGTTAATTATCATTGGAGAACGAACGAGTTAACAAAGGAGGTCAAATCACGAAAATAACACATATTTTTGTTGTTTAAGTTGAAGGTTTGATTCTCGACTCCTATACATTTGCTTAACAAAAAAACCCTATTTTTGATTCTTCGTTTTTAAGTATCTAGTCTTGTAATCGAAGAGGTCGAAGATACTTTGTGAGATCCCACATCGGTTAGAGAAGGGAATGAAGCATTCCTTGTAAGGGTATGAAAACCTCTCCCTAACAGACGTGTTTTAAAATCTTGAGGGGAAATTCGAGAGGGAAAGCCCAAAAAGAACAATATTTGCAAGCGGTGGACTTGAGCTGTCACAAAATTTAGAAGACTTGCATTCGCTCTCCACGATATCAATTCTACTAAGTTGAAGTTGAAGGTTCGATTCTCGACTCCTATATATTTTCTGAACAAAAAAACTCTATTTCTAATTCTTAGTTTTTAAATATGTAATCTTGTAGTTGAAGAGGTCGAAGACATTTTGTGAGATCTCACATCGGTTGGAGAAAGAAACGAAACATTCCTTATAAGGGTGTGGGAACCTCTCCCTAACAGACACGTTTTAAAACTTTAAGGAGAAACCCGAGAGGGGAAGCCATTGCTAGCAGTGGGCTTGAATTGAATACTCGCATTCACTCACAATGATATCAATTCTACTAAAGCTTGCCAACAAGAAGATATCATTTGCAAACTCATAAGTATTTCAAACCATGTCTAAGCAATAGGGGGACATGCTTTACAAAATTGGCAAACAAAATAACTATTTCTGTAGTTTTATAATGATTTTAGCAGTCGATAATGACGAAGAAATCTTACTTAAGCTCTTTGGTTTTGGCTGCAAATTCTTCACTCAATTTAGCATAGGCATCCTTTTCAAGCTGCAAAACAATCCCTAAAAATGATTGAGCATAGCTACAAAAACATTAATGTATTAAACAAAATCGAAGTAATTTTTTTAGTACGAACACGTGGATGGAAATCTGTTCGAGATATAGTATCTTAATCAGTTGAGTTATGCTCAGGTTAGCACGAAACGATTGGGTGTTAGCTATTCATGATAGAAAGAGTTAGCAACGAGTAAAAATCGAAGGAATCCCATTCGAAAAAAAGAACCGAAGTTTGTAGTAGCTCAAGTCCACCGTCAGCAGATATTGCCCTCTTTTTACTTTCTCTCAAGGGTTTAAAACGCGTTTACTAAGGAGAGGTTTCCACACCTAACCAAATGATGTGGGATCTCACAATCCACCTGGTACACTGTTTAGTGTTCGGCTCTGATATGTAACGGGCCAAAGCGGATAATATTTGCTAGCGACCGCCTTCGGCTATTACACATGGTTTACTCTATCATCGATAAATGTTCACGGGTCGTTTTATTCTTAAAATTTTTATTTAAAAAAAAAAAAAAACTCTTAGGCAAAGGATTATAAATAAATAAATAAAGATGTTACCTGAGATGGAGGCTGCTGACCAAAGTTATTAACCTCTGGTATCATGTTATGTCTTCTCAGCAACTCCTGCATGCTTCATGCAATAATAAAAGGACCAAAAAAAAGACATCTTTCAATTCTTAAACGAGACCAATAGCGATATTACGACGTTATCAATCGGTAACATCTTATTATTTCGGATTGGAGTTGTCAACTATTTTCATACAGTCAAACTGTTTAGCTCCTCGATTAAGCTATTGTAAGTTTCGGCTTCTTGAGATTTGCTTAAAAAAAAAGTAAGTGAAGGGTCTCACTAACTCGAATAATCGTATCGTAAAATCAATAAACTGAAATCGAGTAATGTTACAACCACATAAACTTTATGAAATATGACAAATATTGACAATATCAGCTTAACTTAATTGGTTAAGATATATATCATCGATCAAGAAGTTAAAAGTGTCTACTCAGATATTGAAAAAAAAAAACGTAAATATTTCTATATAAATAAATCGATTTTCACGTGTTTCTTAGCTTTTCTTAGGTCAAAAATAGACGGAGTGAAAAATAATCCACCGACGTTTGAAAATAACAGGTCGGATTCTTAGAACATGTGACAACAATTTCAATATTTCATGGATAAGATGTATGACATCATAGGTTAACAGATAAATTTCATAGTACATTTTCCAATTGAATTTAAACATTCAATCAAACGACAATATCTAATAGAATCACTTTGATAATCGTGAAAGACATCAAAAATCACATGTTTTTTTAAGAATAACAATGAGAAGAAAATTATTAAATCACGAAATTCAGATTATAAAAATTACATCTTTGATAAACTGTACATGGGTCTCTTGAAAATCAACAAAATTTCAACTAAAAACCTAAAAAAAAACCAAATTTTTCATCAAATTCTTACACCATTTGTAAAAATCTCAAAAACCCATTAGTTTTTTTCAATCAAATTCCTTGTTCTTCAGCAATTTCTCCTAAAATTTTAGCTTTTCTCTCTCTAAACCCAAATAAATAAATATGAGAAGAAAAAAAAAAGAACAATAAAGATTTTAGAGAGAGAAAATGAACAAAACCAATTTTTTCATCAAATTCTTACACCATTTCTAAAAATCTCAAAAAAAAAAATCAATTAAATTCCTTGTTCTTCAGCCATTTTCCCAAAAAATCAAGCTTTTCTCTCTCTAAACCCAAATAAATATGAAGAAAAAAAAAGATTTTAGAGAGAGAAAATGAACAAAACCAATTTTTTCATCAAATTCTTACACCATTTCTAAAAATCTCAAAAAAAAATCAATTAAATTCCTTGTTCTTCAGCCATTTTCCCAAAAAATCAAGCTTTTCTCTCTCTAAACCCAAATAAATATGAAGAAAAAAAAAGATTTTAGAGAGAGAAAATGAACAAAACCAATTTTTTCATCAAATTCTTACACCATTTCTAAAAATCTCAAAAAAAAAAATCAATTAAATTCCTTGTTCTTCAGCCATTTTCCCAAAAAATCAAGCTTTTCTCTCTCTAAACCCAAATAAATATGAAGAAAAAAAAAGATTTTAGAGAGAGAAAATGAACAAAACCAATTTTTTCATCAAATTCTTACACCATTTCTAAAAATCTCAAAAAAAAATCAATTAAATTCCTTGTTCTTCAGCCATTTTCCCAAAAAATCAAGCTTTTCTCTCTCTAAACCCAAATAAATATGAAGAAAAAAAAAAGATTTTAGAGAGAGAAAATGAACAAAACCAATTTTTTCATCAAATTCTTGCACCATTTCTAAAAATCTAAAAAACCCATTGTTTTTTTTCAATCAAATTCCTTGTTCATTCAGCCATTTCCCCTAAAGATCAAGCTTTTCTCTCTCTAAACCCAAATAAATATGAAAAAAAAAAAAGATTTTAGAGAGAGAAAATGAACAAAACCAATTTTTTCATCAAATTCTTGCACCATTTCTAAAAATCTAAAAAACCCATTGTTTTTTTTCAATCAAATTCCTTGTTCATTCAGCCATTTCCCCTAAAGATCAAGCTTTTCTCTCTCTAAACCCAAATAAATATGAAAAAAAAAAAAGATTTTAGAGAGAGAAAATGAACAAAACCAATTTTTTCATCAAATTCTTGCACCATTTCTAAAAATCTAAAAAACCCATTGTTTTTTTTCAATCAAATTCCTTGTTCATTCAGCCATTTCCCCTAAAGATCAAGCTTTTCTCTCTCTAAACCCAAATAAATATGAAAAAAAAAAAAGATTTTAGAGAGAGAAAATGAACAAAACCAATTTTTTCATCAAATTCTTGCACCATTTCTAAAAATCTAAAAAACCCATTGTTTTTTTTCAATCAAATTCCTTGTTCATTCAGCCATTTCCCCACAAAATCAAGCTTTTCTCTCACTAAACCCAAATAAACATGAAGGAAAAAAAAACAAGATTTTAGAGAGAGAGAAAGAACAAAACCTTGAGCTAGAATAGTCAAATAGCTTGCCAGAAGCAGAAAAAACAATGAGAGCAATATCAGCATCACAAAGAGTGGCTAGTTCATGAGCTTTTTTGAATAGCCCTCTTCTTCTCTTTGAGAAAGTCACTTGCCTTGCTGCTATGTTGTCTATTTTCTTTATCTGAATTTTCTGTCTCGTCATTATTTTCAACCTCCCACCTATGAACACACACAAAAAAACACCCAAAAATCACCAAATTAAACTCGACCCACATCCATTTTCCCTTCAATTTGCATCAAAAATCATCACTTTCTTACAAGATCTATCAAAATAAAGCTACCCATCACCCAAAAATGATGAATTTATACAAATCTGAAGCAAAAACCCTAAGAATCTGAAGAACTATGAACTCAAAAAACTTAGTTTCTTGCAAATTTACCTTATTTCGATGCTGTTCTTCTGGGATTTGGCTGTATGAATTCAATACCCAAAACGAGATTCTTGGAAAGAAAATAAAAGGGTTTCCTTTTGTGGAAAAATGAAAGGAATGAAGTGTTTTTGGGCAAATTTCTTCAAATGGGCAAAAGAAAAAGAATCTAATATTAAAAATGATTGGATTTAGAAGCTTTAGAGCTGCCCAATTCAATAGCTTTTTTTGTTTCTTTTTTTTTTTTTCATTAAATTTTTTTAATTAAAAAGTTTTATATTATCTATTCGTACAAATAGGCCATGCTGACAGACCAATCACTGACATAGTTTATGACAACATTGTACCCTCGTACCCAATCACAATCCTTCTTTGCTATTGGATTGAGTGAGTGTTTCCCTTACAACAGTAACTGACCTTTTTTAACTTTTAACCCTTCTTAGTTACCCTTTGTGTGTGTTTTTTTTTACCCTATTGGGTGTGGTTGAAATTTGAATGGTCATCTAGGGTTGTGTGGAAGTTGTACTAATTTGATCTTTTTTTAGTGCTTTCAATGTTGTGTTTATGTGTCTTTTTTTGGATAGTTTTCTAAAGTTTTGTAGTTATAGAGGAAATTTGAAATGATATCGACCGAGGAGGTTTGTTTCGATTTCAAAGGAGGGTTTGAGAAGAACGAAGAACGGATGTTTGATAGTATGTATGTGTCAACGTGCGTACTAGCTCGTTTTGTTATATATATATATATATTCTTATCTTTGATGCTTTTTAAAAGAGCATTATGACGATAGGAAGGTTCAAAATTTGACAAATGAAGAGAAACGTCATGTAACAGCCTAAACCCATTGTCCGCTTAGGTCTGTTATGTATCGCGCCAGTCTCACAGTTTTAAAATGTATTTTTTAAAAAGAGATTTTCACACGCTTATAAGAAATATTTCGATCTTCTCTCCAACCAATGTGCGATCTCACAATTCACCCTCCTTGGGGGTCCAACATCTTCGTCGGCACACCGCTCAGTGTCTAACTCTAATACTATTGTGAAATCTCAAATCAGTTGGAGAGGGGAACAAAACATTTCTTACAAGAGTTTGAAAACCTCTTCATAGAAGACGCGATTTAAAGCTGTGAGACTGTCAACGGTACTTAACGGGCTAAAGCGGGCAATATCTACTAGCCATAAGCTTGAACTATTACACGTCAATATCTTGTTTGAGCGTTTATGAACAGGATCAGGTCAAAACCCTCGAGTTTAGCTAGTTACAAGTTGTTTATTTGCGGTATGGGGAAAGGAAATATTCTCGCTTTAATCATTAATTCAAACATGAATTTGATTTGATTTGATTTGAGAAGATTTAATGGTTTGTAAAATAAAAAGAAATGAAAGAATCCAATAAATTTTGTCTTGAAATTTTATGATCAATCCTTTTCGTAGGTAGGTAGGGCTAAGATGTCATAAAAGGATACTAAAGAATTGAAAACATACACTTTTTGGTTGTTCTTAATGCAACTAAAGAGGAAAGCTTCAAACTTGAGACATACTCCAAAAACATGTACTTTTGTAGGGAACCGACCGAGATTCTCCATCGAGAATTCACATAACTGAGTTCACCGGGAAGGGAATTTGGTGGGAGTCGAAGGCGGGGAGGGAGACAGTGAATATAATCATCCTCGAGCCCATTTAACCAAGGAGAAAAAATCTCGACCCACTTTCACCCCATTCCCAAGTGGCAACTCTTTACTTGAGATTCTCTTAGTAAAGCCAATCTAGTCCTCGGGATACAATCGATAACAAGATTAGTCTTCTCTTGAACGCTGCTCTTATTGAAATCATTACTCTGAATTCTCCCATCAATACAAGTCATGAGCGATAGCGAAGCCAAGCCAAATAAGCTCTGACTCGGCTCTAAGAAGCACAACACGAATCACGAACATAATAATTTTCGGTAGAAAAAAGGAGCTTAGGGCTATGAACAAAGATGTAGATTGATCCCCTATCTCGATGAAGATCTCCATGGCCCGACCCCATGAATTAAATAGACTTCGCTAACCATTCAATGTTACTTTAATTTTCAAATCTTCACGTAAATTTTATTTTAAAAAATATTTTTTATTCGAAAAGTTATTTTAAGTTGTAATAGAAATTTTTACCGTGGGGATTAATTTGTTACCATAGACTAAATTATTACAAGAAAAAAAAAAAGGTAAATTTTGAAATATAATAATAGAAAGAAATAAATTTTTATTGAGATTGGAAATAATTAATTGTTGTAAAATGGACGACAAAGGATGACGATATGGAACCCTACCAAAGCGTAACATGACTGTAATGTTCGTTTGAGGAAGTGGTGTCAACGGCCAAATCTGATTGGTTGGGCCCTACTCAATCTTGTGGCGTGTCAGGCTCTGGTTGGCTTGTCACATTCAATGTGTGACAGTACAGGTGTGCGAAATATTTACCTGCTTCGTATCACAAAACAAATTATTTCTTCATTTTTCTCGTGTTGAACGATTCGGATATATATAATAAATAAAATATCTATTGTTATTTTTAATTAAATTACCAAATTAATCTTTTAAATTTTAAGCTTATATTAAATTATTTTTTATCTTTAGAAAATGTCGGTGACGGGATTTAATATATTATAATAAATTTTTAAACTTTTAATTTTATGTAAAATTTATTAGTAAAAAAAGTAAAAAAAAATAAACCGAGTTAAAATAAAATTTAAATTAGAAAAGAAAAACGTAGCTCGAAATTAGTACAAAAGAGTATAATAAGAACACAAAACATTAATTTAAACCAACTCCAATATTACAAATAACATCAAAGGATAGAATAGGTGAACACAACCACACACTCTGAAAACGAACGAACGAGAGAACAAAATGAGTAGTTAGACATCTTCATCAAGGTGAAGAGGTGAAAGTCGGCGGTGGAGTGAGGGAAGGGATCGAGGGTAGGTTAGGAAGCAAAGTTGTCGGGAGTGGAGGCAGCGCCATTCCAGTCGGGATGTTGCTAGGGAAGGTTGGAAATGGTGGTAACTTAGGGAGGGATGGTTGAGTAGTTGGCAACGTTGGTTGTGGGAGGCTTGGGATAGAAGGGATTCCCGACCCTATTGTCGGGTTTGGCATCGTTGGCAACGGTGGGAGAGGAGGCAATGAGGGCAACAGTGGCACGTTCGGTGGAGCAGTTTGCAAGAGACGACGAGCAGCTCGACCAGTATCGAGGGCTGAAAACATCAAAGTAGCCATGAAAGCTATGATCAAGTACTTGGAAGAGGCCATTGTGAAGCTTGGTTTGTGATTTTGGGATAGGGAAACTAATGGTTAGCCATTGATTTATATAGGTTTAGAAATAAAGGGGTTGGTGGGTTTGGCCACCATTTTGCATCTATCGTTGAAAAAAATATTATCATATTAGCTCAACAAACAAAGATTTCCAAAGAAATTAAAATGTTTTTCTTTTCTAAATTTTAACACGTGGAATGAGACTCGTTTAATTTCTTAGTCGAGAATCTGTGTTTTAATCGATTGAGTTCTGTTATTGACTTTATTCATTATTGTTTGAATCATTAATTTGAATAGAGAGCATAGAAGTGTAACAAATTTATGTAGAGTATATGAATAATAGATACCACATTCGAATGAAAGTGATCCTCAGAATATAATGATTAAAAAACGCTTTAAAAATTTGATAGTTAATACTTGTACCAACAAGATGTACGTTCCTTTTTTTGTGGCTTTGTGAGTTACCACATTAGTTAGAGAGGGAACGGGACATTTTTTTTATAAGGGTGTGGAAACTTCTCCCTATTAGATGCATTTTAAAAACTTTGAGCGAAAGCCCGAAAGTGAAATCCTAAAGAGGACACTGTCTACTCACGAGCGGCTTAGGTTGTTACATACTCTATTATAGTATCTCTAAAGTTAAGCGTGTTTGGCTTGGATCGAATGTATGTTTGGTGACCTTCTATAAAAAAAATTTAGTTAGCATGTGAGTGAGAGCAAAACATGCTAAATTGATCCGTCTTTGCTTTTACAAAGACTTTAAAACAAGTCTAAGTTGTCAAATAATATTATAATTTATGGACGAAGAAACAATTTTAGACATGAATAAAAGTTGTCAAATAATCAAACATAAGCTTAGGGGGAGAAGTTGCATATGGAGGAGATAGAAATGGGATTGAGGGAAATGGAGTTGGAACGTTCGAGATTGATGGCATGTTCGAGAGTAGAGGCAGCAACATCCCGATCGGGATGTTCGTCAGAGAACTTGGAAGTGAAGGGAGATTAAATTTCGATAATATGGGTTGTGACAAATTTGGATGAGTATTAGGGATTGGCGTGGCGGGCAACGATGACGTCCTCGTTGGAACCAATGGTAAGTTCGACGGTGAGAGAGAAGCGGTTTGTAAAAGATTGTCATCAAACGAGTGTCATTGAGACATTTAGAAAAGTTTGTTCATTAAACTAAATGTGAATTAATGTGTATTATTGTTGGGTTAGTTGTTTTTACTCTCGGGCTAATTTTCATAGACCATTTTTTTTATAATGGTATGGAAACTTTTCTCAAGCAGACGCGTTTTAAAACCTTGAAGTGAAATTCGAAAGGAAAAGGTCAAAGAAAGACAATATATGCTAACGGTGGGCCTAGATTGTTACACTACCATTGGCGACTTTTTTTGTTTCTCAAATGAGCCCCATAAAGACGTTTATAAAGACATTTAAATAGATGATTTATTCCTAATCCAACTTATTTCAACCTCGATTAAAATCCCTTCAAGTCAAACGACATCTCGAGTACAGCTCACAATTGTGAGCTCATAAAGGTAAAGTTCAAATTTTGTTATTATATTTTCAACCAAATTTAGGCCAATTTAATAAATTTTATTTTAAAAATTTTATAAGAAAAAATTAGTAAAGATTAACTTCTTTAGAAATTTTCACAATAAACATATAAAGACTAAAATAAAATTTTAAAAAAATTAAAAGTGATATGAAAAGCAAAATTATATTACACTTATTGAAATTTAAAGAAATGAAAGAATACATCGTCTCGTTAAAGATAATAATTAACACGTCATCTATTAGCTACATGTGGAACTCAATGAAAAGTACAAACTTGCCGATAGCATACGATTTATCAAATGTATGTCGACTCATAAAGATAGTTCTTAAATACATACATAAAAATTATCTTTAAATGGAACCCGTGCAAAATCAAAATCACTCATCTCCACATAACTCAAACGACTTTTACCAATATACTAATTTAAACAATAACACAATGCACTAAAAGAGTACAAGAACACAACCAACTAATTTAAACAACCTCAAATGTTACAAATAACATCATAGGAGAGGATAGATAAACACAATCACACACTCTAAAAACGAACGAGGGAAGATCAAAATGAGTAGCTAGATATCTCCATCAAGGTGAAGTGGTGGTGGCAGGCGGTGGAGTGAGAGAAGGGATCGATGGTAGGTTAGGAAGCAAAGTTGTCGGGAGCGGAGGCAGCGCCATTATGGTCGGGATGTTACTAGGGAAGCTTGGAAGTGGAGGTAACTTAGGGAGGGATGGTTGAGTAGTTGGCAATGTTGGTTGTGGGAGGCTTGGGATTGAAGGGATTCCTGACCCTGTTGTCGGGTTTGGCAGCGTTGGCAACGGCGGGAGAGGAGGCAATGTGGGCAACACTGGCACGTTCGGTGGAGCAGTTTGCAAGAGATGACGAGCAGCTCGACCAGTATTGATGGCTGAAAACATCAAAGTAGCCATGAAAGCTATGATCAAGTACTTGGAAGAGGCCATTGTGAAGCTTGGTTTGTGATTTGGGATGGGGAAGCTAAGGGTTGGCACTTGATTTATATAGGGTTAGAAATAAAGGGGTTGGTGGGTTAGGCCACCATTTTGCATCTCTTGTTGAGAAAAATATTATCATATCAGCTCACCAAACAAAGATTTCCAAAGAAACTAAAGTGTTCTAAAGTGGAGTTTTAATGTATGAAGAACGATAGTGATTGGATTAAATGAAAGATTTGGTAAAAGTGGTAGAATATATATAAAGGGTATTTCGTTCACCTCTCCGAAGTGGGCTTCCCTAAACGTTTTTAAAACGCGTCTGTTAAGGAGAGGTTTCCATGCCTTTATAAAAGGTGTTTTGTTCTCCTCCCCAACCAATGTGGGATCTCACAATCCACTCTCAGGGCCAGCGTCCTTGCTGGCACTCGTTCCCTTCTCCAATCGATGTAGAACTCCCCAATCCACCCCCTTCGGTGTCCAAAGTCCTTCCTGGCACACCGCCTCATGACCACCCTCTTCAGTATCCAGCGTCCTTGTTGGTATACCGCCTCGTGTCCACCCCCTTCAGGGCTCAGCCTTCTCACTAGCACATCGCCTAGTGTTTAGCTTTAATAACATTTGTAAGAGCTTAAACCCACTGCTTGCAGATATTGTCCTCTTTGGGCATAAATAGACATTTAAATTAAAAACAACTTGGATCATTGACCTTTCATCTAATGTAAACAAACATCACTACATGGATCCATATACATCCAGTTAGCCTATTATGCTAACAAATCTACAATGAGCATCATACGTTCTAGTAATAAAGGGATGATCTAGAGAGAGTTTAGCTAGAGTAAGAAATATAAGTGAACACATAAATTGGTTTTGAAGAAGAATCTATGCTAGCTTCATTTAGAGCTGCTCATATAAATAAGAATGTACTTATCATAATTGACGCGGATTCTACCGTCTCCGAAGAGGTCTCTGGAGAAAACAGAAATAGACATAACGTTAGAAACGTCATATTGAGCAAATACTTACATCAGTAGGTAGCAACATTATCAGTAGGGATCGTTGATGATAGCATTACAAAAGAGGCACATACCCTTTGCCCATGATCATGTCCTTGTGACTGCACATTGGTCATTCTTTCTTGATCTGGGACCAACTCTGGATTTCCGTGCTTGTAAATTGCCTGCAACGCTCTACCGACAAACGGTCGAACTATATTCACTTCCATGGCAGATAGATCTTTAATCTAGGATCACAAAACCAGAAGACCCTGATCACATCAGCACATAATCAAAAAGACAAAACCTAGTGAGTAAGAACGTTGCATTTAGCATCTTTTCTGTTAGAAATGATACAGTAATAAAGCTGCAAGTTCATAAATTTGAAGTAAAAAGAAGAAGAAAATAAAAATAAACTCTTAGTCAGAAGTCGACCTTCACTGCAGATGTGCGTGTATCAATCGACTCCAAACTGGTTTCAACTTTGTGAAACCTAACATCCCTGATATCTTCAATAAGAGACCTTACCTATGAAAAGCAACTCAATCAAATGACTCACGAAAAGAAGTTATTTACATGCCAAAACTCAAAACAAAAGCTCCCAACTCACCAAATACATGTCAGGAACGTCGTCTCGTGCGCTATCAACCACAACATACAGTTAGCATCAACTCTTTTAATGACCATAAAGAACTTCGTAATGTTAAAGATCTCGTAATACTTACTGGTCAAAAAGAAGTTTCGACATTTCGACATAATGGAAGGGTAGTATCTGGAAAGATCCTTGAGACTCTCGTTCTGCCTCCAACGTTTGTGTCAACTTTTCTAGTCCAGAAAGCCGAAAACAGTGAGATTACAAACTATCTACCCTGACTGTAATGGATTATATCTCTCTTCTTTTTCAGTCTTTTTATAGCCCAATATTTCTTCTATTATCTTCATCACATGCAAAAAATTAAAGAGTTGATGCCTATTGCACCCATCAGAAGGAAGAAACCTAAAATATTTGGATTACAAGAAATAAATTGTGAAAAATGTTATGAAGTAAGAATGAATATCAAGGTTACTCTTAGGTACTATTGGGTAATCCATGCTACTCATGTACCTAATCAAGATATCAATGAAACCAGCAGCAATATCTTTAAACTTGATACATATGCATGCAAGAAAGAAAGTAGTTGTGTGCTAACACCAACACTTTTGCCCCTCCAAGCCACCATATAGATTCAGCTCTTTTACGTCTGAGGAAGCTACAGCTAGTTTTTTCCCTTCTGAGAAATCATAATCTTAGGATTCTTAGTGCATAACCGAAAAGTGTTCTCATGATTGACAGACATCTAAAAAACGATCACCGACATTGAACGTAATGAAACCAGGATACGATTCCTATTCACAATTTGGAATCCATATCTCAATATCTTTCGGATATTTATTAGACTACAAGCTCTAAAGAAAAAGTAACAAGCTAAGGTAAGCTGTACCATTGAATTGTAACTTTATTTGGTTTTTCTCTGGGAGATGGAGTTTCCTTGACGATGAATCCTTCACGTAGGTCCGAAGAACGTAATATTAAACATAGAACCCTCCATAAATTTTTTATATTCATCCACTAAATATATATATGGTTTGCAAGGATGCTAGGAGTTCTTCTATTGCATAAAGAAAGCATTTTTATATCCCATTCATGTTGGCGTGACCCTGTGTTTCAAGCTTGAAACCATGGTCCATGATAGGAGGATTGCTCAACAGCACTGATTCCTATATACTTGGAATGTAATAATCTCTTCGATATTAATCTACAAAACCGACGTAAATTCTAGATCTACAGATATTATATCCTCCAATTGAGTATGCAGACTAGTAATTGCTTCAGATTAAGATACTTAATCCAGGAGTATCCGTCGACATTCACCTAAAAAGAATGAAGAAAAAGCCTGCAGATTACGTGTGTTACGCATGAAAGAAATTTCACCATATATAACAGAAGAACTTACCAACCGACATCCACTCTGGAGGCCTAATTGCACATTTCCCTCTTTTTTTCAGAGCAATCGCTAGCCACAATGGAACTTCAGTGGCGATTTGGGGATAGAACGGACCATAATCCCCCTTGAGGAAACATGGAAATTAAAAACACTCAGCATTAGCAGGAAGAAAAGATAAAAAACACACAACAATGAAAAATTGAAATCCTGCAATAAAGCAGACAGCATATGTTAAACATGAACAGAATAGGTGAAGAAGGCAACATACACAAATCAAATTTAGAGAATCCATTCTCATATTAGGAACAATCTCCACCATTTCATCTTCAGCTACAAACTCGATCTGGACAAGAATCCCCGAAACAATTTAGCATCAATGCCAGATAACATTGCTTTAACCATTTAGATAGAGCAAGAAGAGGATACCTCTTCTGCAGAAAATAGGGTCAGGTGAGGATCTGATTGACCAGCCATTTCTGTTAAAAGGAAATCAGACTATTCAAATATAAAATAACAGTTCCATTATTGGATAACTAAAGACAAACATGATATGAAAACTCTAGCCAATTGGATCTAAGAACCCATAATCGATATGTAAACCCCTAGATCATATATGTTCGAACCCCCATTCAAGATGATTTAGAACTTCCTGAGAGTTCGATCTAACAATCTTATTGAAGAACAAAACCTTTAGAACTAAAATATCCAAAAATCCCAAAACGATAAAGAATTCACCCAAGGGAAAATAAGATTTGAAGTACCTCGTTGTTCAAATATATTAAGGCAATAAAACTTGTTTGAGATTCGAATCACTCCACAAACAATATTGATCAAGTCAACCTCGAATGATTCTAAGCATGGAACCTAAACTACGTAGAACTGTAAAGAAACTTAGCTCTAGACTAAAACAAGGTATAAATGTTCTTTTTTCTACCTTTTTCAAATTTTCTTTACAAAGACAACATACATGGTTCTATATAGCTTCAAAATGAAATCTTTGACCTTCCATGAGACATTTCAAAAGTTTGTAACCTTCATAATTTATTACCATAATTAGCCATTTTGTAAATGTAACTGTGTAAAGTAAATAAAAAATATTAAAACTAAAAAATACACGAACGAAACACCATAAATCCAAAAATAGTAGATTTTAATCACCCCCCAAGAATTCATAACCATCTAAGAATAAATGAAACCTCACTAAAAGTAACTTGAATCCATTGTTGCAAAATAAAACTTGATTCTTCTTTAATATAGCACTAGTTGCAACTTGAGTTCAAACTTGATTTTACTCAATATGACTAGAGATCTCGTGGTAATAATTTAACAACAATTTCTTCACATCTTCCTTGAAGTTCATATTACATGATTAAGATGTCTTGGTTCATATCCAAGCAAGGTTAAAAGTTGTTCTCACAAATTTTGGATTGGACATTGGAAGTAAACATTTCCCACGAAACTTAAAAGCGCCCCCACCCTACAGAAAAACCAAGAGCAAAAATTTTGCTACACACTAGCAAATTCTACAGGGTATTTGAGGGAGGGTTTGAGTTTAGTCAAGGAGTTTTCTCACGCCTAAGGTTTATGACACAAATTCAAGGGTTTAACAAGACCAAAGCATCCAAAATCTGCATCCCAAACACAGTTTTCATAAACCCATGCTTCTAAACCCTCCACTTAAATCTCTAGGCTTGATGTCTAACTTCTAAGTTCCAAGATTTTCCTCCTCCAGAAATTACAAAACCATGCTATGAAAAACCATCCACTGCCCAATCTATCCATTATCTGATTTATCATCTTCAAACCATAATAAAAATTCGTGCTAGCACATTCAACGATAATGGTATCAGTTTCATCTGTATAATATAAACGGAATTATAGAAAGTGATATCAAATAGAAATCAAATAACTACGTTGCAGCTGTTAAATCATCAAATTGAAAAAACTACAGCGAATGAACCAAAATGCAAGAGTAAATCGGTAAAGAGCAACTAAAATTCCAGCGAAAATCGTATAAATTTCAATGGTTGTTACAAATTTGAGGATCTGTGGAGTTTCAAAGGCAGAAGAGAAACAACAGCAATCTGAAAATTTACCTAACGAAAGCTTCAATCTGAACAATCGTGAAGATCGGAAGTCGATGACTAGGGAAACAGAAGCAGCGGCAAGAGTTGGGAGAAAAAATTCAAAACTGAAAATCTTGGCAAAATTTGAGGGGGGAAATGAACGTAAACCAATTTTTAAGCTCGCTGCGAAAAAGTGTGCGAAAATCACAGCCAAATTTTTAAGGGGTTGAAATTTAAATGATGAATTTGAATATCAAATTTAAGCGGATGAACCATGATGAATTATAATCATTAAAATCATTTTGTAGTGTTGAAATAGGATTAAAATAGGTTAATCCATTAGGGCTCTTTTTTATCTCTAAAGAAATGAGGAAATGAGGAGAGATTCCTCGCTATTAACTAACGGGTAGATGTCGGGATTGTATTTGTTGTCTCTGTCCCCTCCTAATTCACCACTCGTCCTACCCCTATGCACTGTCATGTTTGTCTAAGGGGGTGTTGTATGTGGCTGTGTGTCGGATGTCCGATAATACTTGTCCAGAATGCCTCCTAATTCACTCATTGTCCTGCCTAGTGTCATGGTCATGCTTGTATAAGGCATGATACCTGTCTATGGTCGCATGCTCGTTCTAAACTCTTTTTACTCTACAATAATATGATATTGTCCACTTTGAACATAAGTACTTATGATTTTGTTTTGGGCTTCCCAAAAGGTCTCGTACCAATAAAGATAATATTTCTCACTTATAAACTCACCTCTTTCACTAAATTAACCAATGTGGGACTCACTTTTAATAATTCTCAATAGAAACACGAGCAAAGAAGACTTTCATGTCCCAGCTAGTAATGATTATTTATTAGGATGAAATATTTTAAGGCAGCCAACAAATATTTATTAATATAATAATTTTTGTGCATTATTATTTATGACGATGAAATTAAATTTAAATCCGTAACCTTTTCAGCATTCATGGTTTTTAATGCCATTTAAAATGTAATTAATTACATTCAATAAAATAATTTAAGTTTACTTCTATTTAATTTTTTTAAAAAAAAACTATTAAATAGAGTACAAATTTTATTGTGTATAAATATATGAATTTCAAACAAATATTTATATTAAATATAAAAAAAATGATTATTTTGTAGAACTGATATTATATTTTAAAATTAACAAAAAAAAATTAAAAAAAATGATGGATGGTAATAAAATTTTAATTTATAACATGGTTGCGATTAATTTACTAAAAATAATATAATACGGGCGTGGTATAAAAATGTTCCCAAAGTAATTTCACTTTGCACGACAATAATTATTTTTAAATATTATTAGCTCTTATTATTTACTGGGCATTAAGTCATTCTCTCGTACTTATCTCGAAACATAAAAGTCATGTTTTTAGACTTAACTGGTCCCGAAGTGCAATTAGTTGATTCACTACCTCTAACAAACTCGATACATATATGGATCGGTCATAATAAACACCTTGCTACTAGTGTAGCTGGCGACTCTCTAGTAGCCCCGACATAATACCCTGATAATATCACAAACATTAAGGGAGTGACCTCAAGAGCCTGAACTAACTACGGTCATATGTGGTTCATTTATTAGAATGCTTCACTACTTCGAGTTAGCCGGTGACTATTTAGTAGCCCCAAAAGGGTAGCCTTATAACATGAAGAGACACATGAGCAATGTCATAAACACGTGGAGAGCAACTCCATGTATAAACCAACTACGACACATGTATGAGTCAGTCACTCTTCACTACTATAAGATAATAGACGACCTTGTAGCATGAAGATAGTATTTCGATAACATGAACAGCTACGTACATAATTGCATGTACAAATAATTAACCGGGAACAACAATCGGCACTCACTAAAATATTTTTAATTTCTTAATTTTTTTCAAATTATTTAAAAAATAAAATATCAATGAAAAATTTTGAAAACTATTTTTTTAAACATTTTTTTAAAAGTTAAAAAAGGTATTTTTGAAACATTTTTTTGCAATTTTTTAAACAAAATATTAACGGTTTTTAAATGAATATATTTTAATTTTTTTTTTTTAATTTTTTAAATGGAGGGATATTTTAGTCAATTTGATATTATGTAATATATTTTTACATGAATTGGGATTTTAGAATTTTAAATCCTGTTCTTCGTGTTTCGTTTTCCCCCTTCTTCTTCATCGCTCATCTCAAAGGTTTAGCGATGTCTGGTGTTCAATCCCATCCGACTTCACTAGGACTCCACTGACACACTCCAACTCCCAGCTCCGGCGGCCTCACTCCGCCGCCTCACCGGAGACCCACTCCTTCATCTTACCATTTTTACTTCCCGGTGAGTTTTTATTTGCTAGGGTTTCCGGATTTCCTAATTCCACCGCCATTTGCTTTGACATCCACGCGATTCAGTTTCTTTCGCCGATTGACTTCCTTACGGAGTTTAAACCTTCTGTTTGTGAGGATTTGTGTAAGTAATTGGGGTTTTCTTTTGGAGGTTTATGTGAAATTCGCTCTTGCTTGAAACGAGGAGAAGTAGAAGTGTTGTTGTTGTTGTTGGGGGGGAACTCATGGAAGGGAGGAGGATTTCGGCGAGTCCTCGGCCTTGTTCCGGTCGGCGTATTTTGGCTAAGAAGCGGCAGCGGGTTGATGGGTTTGTTAATAGTGTGAAGAAGCTGCAGAGACGGGAGATTTGCTCGAAGCGAGATCGTGCTTTTAGTATGAGTAATGCGCAAGAGAGATTTCGCAACATGCGTTTGATGGTCTGTTCTTTTTCCTTTTGCATCTTGTGCTATTTGGCTGTTCTTTACTGCATTACATACTTCTCCTCTCTCATTGCAGCTTCATTTTGTTTGGCTATAACATGTTTTTTTTTTCAAGAAAAAACTCTAGCCCACTTCATTTTTGTTCCTCCTTTGTTCTTTTTCCAGTTTGACTGATTTTGTGGGAAGCTTTTGGCCGATGCCTCTTTCACCCTTTTCCATTTCTGTTCATTTAGACAAAATGTTCCTTTACGTATGGTACCAGGACGTCTTAGATCGGGGCGTCGTTTTATCTATGGTTAAAGGGGTTTCCCTAGTGCACTTTCCCTTCCAACGATGGAGCCAATTAAATGACTTCACAGTGTTATTTCCTGATCTTGATAGTTTTAACACCTCAGCCTAACAAATTGTTTGGAAGAAATATGAAATTTTCTCGCGCTTATATGTTGCAGATGGTTTCTTTGTTTTCCTTTTCTAGAATCTTCTATTACAGATGAATTGAATGTGAATTTTATTTTTTCTTGGCCATGTTATTTTGTTTGTAAAAGGATAGGCACTCACGTCAAGGGAATTACGTTTGCATCACTAACTATTTAGTACATTCTGTTTGGCCATACTCTTGTGTATCTAAGTCATTTTGTTTATTGTTTTACTTATTCACCTCCACTCTCATTGAAGCTGGATTTTATATCTTGGTGTGGGCTGGATTTCCGTGATTAGTGTTTTGTGGTGTTTTGTGATGATTTTGTCTCAAGGGATAACTTTATTATTGTTGGAGAATTCTACTTACGGAGTCCATTTGTTATCATGTGTCATGCTTTAGGTTGATTATTAAAAGTGATAGTTATAATTCACGATATTAACAAGGCCCAGGCCCGGGATTTCTGTAAGTGATTGATGGTTGAATTGAATAGAAAATATGTAATAGCAGGAAGGATCCGTGCAACTGGCCTTATGCTATTGAGAATATGATGGTTGATATGACAGCTTTCCAAGCTGTTGAGAATATACTTAAGAATCTGCTACTATTGGACATTGGAAACTATATTACTCAAGTTTGATCCATGTGCTTGGAATTGACATAAATTACATGAATGTTGTTTTCTTTGTAAAATTTATATTTTCTTTCTATTTAATCGTTTAATTGTATCAGGAGGAATATGATACTCATGATCCAAAGGGGCATTGTTCACCAGTTTTACCTTTTCTAATGAAGAGGACCAAAGTAATAGAAATCGTTGCTGCACGTGATATTGTTTTTGCGCTTGCACATTCTGGTGTTTGTGCAGCTTTTAGTAGAGGTAACTACATTATGCCCTAGTGAGTCTTTTTAAACGAAAATTTCTGAATGACACGTGTTGGTTATTTCGTGTACAGAGACCAATGAAAGGATATGCTTCTTGAACGTCAGCCCTGATGAGGTCATTCGGAGTTTGTTTTACAATAAGAACAATGATTCACTTATCACAGTTTCAGTTTATGCTTCTGATAACTTCAGCTCTTTGAAATGCAGATCTACAAGGATTGAGTGCGTAAAATTCCATTGCTCGTGTTTGTATTATTCATTTTCTTCAATTCAATGCTTATATTTATCTCTTCTGATATTTCCTCCTTAAATCTACTAGATATATTCGAAGGGGCAAGCCTGATGCTGGTTTTGCACTTTTTGAGTCTGAATCATTGAAGTGGCCTGGATTTGTCGAGTTTGATGATGTTAATGGGAAGGTTCTAACCTACTCTGCACAGGATAGGTAACTTTATTGTCTTTCTTTTATTTGTCTTTGTTTCATTTTATTCTTATTCTTATTGCAACTTGTTTCTTTTTTCCTGCTCTTTTGTTGTCAGCATATACAAGGTGTTTGACCTGAAAAACTATACCATGCTTTACTCCATATCAGATAAACATGTTCAAGAAATCAAGATCAGGTAATTCTCTCCTATTTTCTCTTAGTGTTGTGCAATGGAACAAAGAAAATTCAAGTCTTTAGATGACTCTTCCTGATTAATACAAGTGAGAGTTACTGAACATTGAAGATAAATTTGAACGTCAAGATTATTTTCTAGCTTCAAGATGAAGCTCTTGATTAATTTGTGAATTAAATTAGTTTGTTTTCTTTTCTAGAAGACAGCCTAGCACCTTATGTCATGCACCTCCACCTCCATCTACACCTATATGTACATTTGCTGTTTTTTTTTTTTCTTTTTTCTGAATTTTCTTTTGAAGATGGTGCAGTTGTGTTTGCAATGTCATTCCTTTTGTACATTCTGTGCTTGTACTTTTTCAGTGGTGTATAGGAAGCACAAAAACTCCATTTTAGTTAGGTTGTGCATGTTGGACACAAACTCATCTAGACACGCTCTGAATATGTGTCTGACATGCAAAACCAATGCCCAATTTCGTAAGGACAAAATACACGAAGTTAAAATTAATATTTTCCAAGTCAGAAAACTAGTTATTGTCACACCATGTTTG